ACCAGCCAACCAGCCAACCAGCCAACCAGCCAACCAGCCAACCAAAGATGTATTTTTACCGTAAAATTGAAGTCCAAAGTAAGTTGATCCCTCTTCTTTGGCTTTTTTGGCACATCTGCAAGCAAGTTGAGGTACATACACATCCCAGTTTACCCAGTCAATGTTTTGTCCACTGTAACTAGGGACTGTAGGGTCGCGATCATTCAGCAAGTAGTTTGCGAGGGGTCTCGCGTGGGAATTGTGGGAATCCTTAAAGCAGCCTTCTATGACGAACTCGATATCACATGTTGTGTTGACTGTCAACAAACAAACAAAAATTATGAAATATGCCACCAAGGCAAGAGGGGACAAGGGACTAGTGCTCCCCCTTTCGTGGCAACAAAATGGCGGCTTTTTACCCCCTGTGCCTGATTACAAAATCTTCAATCAAACAGAAAATATATTCCTTCAAATAGAACCCTGACAAGGGGGATCCAGCCAAAATTTTAGGGGGGGGGGGGGCTAATTGAGTTTCGGGGGGCTAATCCCCCCCTCGCCCTTGCCCTGAGAGAACATTCCAGTGGAAGAAAAGTCTCGTTTTGGAACCACTGTTAAATCCCATTTCTTTATTTTATTTATCTACGAAATCATTTGTTACAGAGGAGGCTCCAGGGTTATCCCATCATGCATTGGCCGTGTTCGTGTCGTGAGCTTTTCACAGTCATACGAAAACTACTCTAAGAACTTACCTATTTGATACACGAAATTCGAGTGATGTTCGCCTGCACAGTATCTATCGGAATTGCCACAAGGTTTAAAACCATCAGCAACACATTTTGCACCCGCCTTCGTTAGTGCAGAAAGATGGGCAAGAGAGTGACCTGCCCAACACTCTCCTAATAACATATATGGTATAATCAGTTATTATATTGGTCAGTGTCTTGAGGTGGTCGGTGTATACCGGTGAGGTCGATATTTAGAGGGGGTCGAAATTGAAAGGGTGGACGACATCAAGATGGGGTCAATGTCTAATAATATTATAATATATTATAATATCATCATACTATAATATTGACTTTATGTTTAGAGGATAAACACGTAACATTAACAAATCGACACGAGTGAAAAACGTCTGCGCATGCTCTGAATCCGTATGCAAATTAGTCAAAACATATGTAAATTTGACTTTCAAACATGCCTGATAAATTGGACTTCACAAAATGCCAAAACTTAGTGTCCATGCTTGAAACTTAAGGCTAATTCTTTCATATTTCGTTTGTTAGTACAGTATCTTGGTCTGACAAAAGTATACTCTCGAAATTTTTAGTATACTTGGAGAAAACAAACATTTATTTTCTCACTCAAACTCTTCAAAATTCTTAGAAAACGCGTGCTAAAATGCACGCATGCGCAAACGTTTTTCCTTAGTGTCTAACAAACCTGTGGTCTTCCATACGATAAAATTATGAACTATAAAACTATAAGACTAAAAAATATCAAACCGTAGAAAGATTAAATATTAAAAAAATATAAGATACTAATAATGATGGGAAAAATGAAAGACTAAGTTAAGTATTATAAGTACAAAACCTAAATGAAAACAAAAACTAAGGAATATAACGAGGCAATGATGATTGCTCTTCGAAATATTTCTTCCACACCATATTTTAAATACTTAAAAGCCGAGCGGTTGAGATCTCGTCTAGCAAACGAGCTCGACGAAAAAATGGATTTGTCATGTAGGCAAACATATAGACAAATATATGGGCAAATATCATATTTGACTAATAGTA